TCCAATCCAGGCAATTCTGGGGTTCTGTGATTTCACTCCACACCACAACACAGTTGCCACCATCACACCCATCCCTGATTTATTTTTATTTTCCCCCCCTCCTACAAACAGCAGTTGTTCAGCAGTGAAAAAAATTATTGAAACACAAGATCCTCTCTAACACTTCAGAGCCACTCTCCAAATTAAAAACAATCCAAGTTGTGTTGCAGTAAGAAATTTCTGTCACTAAAAAGCTTTGTGTAGAGTTTGGTTAGCACAATAGCCTCAAAAAGTTCTTACACACATCTCAAACTCACTGCGCAGGAAGATAAGTTTGGAAAAGCTATTTTAACACATCTCTCCACTATTTGGTCAATTCAAACATTTAAAGGTCAGAAAGTTGATATCTCCTCACTATCCCGTCTCTGCAGCATGTGTAAATTTGCTTTTCCCAAGAAGCTACCTGAAAAAGAGAGGGAGAAAAAGCTGTATTTATATCTCTGAGGTGACAGAGAACAGTAAAATTTTGGCACTAATGTAAAGAGATCAGCTTTCCTTCTGAATTTTTAGATGGTGGATGAGGTGAGTGTCCCCTGAAATGTATTAGTGGGTTTTAAAGGACAGTTCAAGGTTTCACCAGGAGCTCAGGGGCAGGTGAGTGCTGACACAAAGGTTCTTCTGTTAGGTCCAAAAGGGAAAATTTCTTTTTTTCCACATTTTTCTCGTGTTTTGTTCACGCCAATGAGTTGTGCAGGTCAAATCTCAGAGGCTGAGTGTTACCCTTGGGGGTGTGTGTTGGTAAGGAGAGGACACACGTTGGCTGGGAGAGGGAGAATAGGACTGCAGAGCTGGAACATGTTAAAAACAAAAAAAAAAAGCTAATTTCCACCAGTGCCACCAGGTTGAGAACCCAGGGAACCCAGGTCAGACACCTTGATCTGTGTGAGCACAGCGGGACGTGTGGAAACACAACAGCAAGACCCACTTTCTGGTCTCAGAAACAAAAAAAAGCTTAAAAGTCAAGTGTGTGAGGGAATTTGTTGTGTTCACACCATATTCCTCACCTTGTACACAGGGTCGCAGTCAGCTTCTGTGAGATCGAGGACATAATCGAGGTCTTGCTGAATGATAAAGCAGGTTCCATCACCTACGAGAGCAGAACGGATCCAGGGAAGGAAAGAACATTGGCCAATTAGTGAAATACAGCACGCTCTTAATTACAAACAGGCACTAACAGGTTCATCAGAAACACCTCATTAGAGACTATGGAGCCCCCAGGAAGAGAGAAACACGATGTGAGGATGTCAAAGAGATGGAAAAAGGCTCTAACAGATCAGATGCAGCTTGGAGGACCCATTTATTAACTGTGTCCTGGGCTGCACCCAGAGCAGCGTGGGCAGCAGGTGGAGGGAGGGGATTCTGCCCCTCTGCTCCGCTCTCCTCACACCCCACCTGCAGTGCTGCCTCCAGTGCTGGGGCCACCAACAGCACAAGGACATGGAGCTACTGGAGGCAGTGCAGAGGAGGCCACCAGGATGATGCGAGGGCTGGAGCAGCTCTGCTGTGAGGACAGGCTGAGAGAGTTGGGGCTGTTCAGCCTGGAGAAGAGAAGGCTCCGGGGAGACCTTCTAGTGGCCTCCCAGTACCTGAAGGGGCTCCAGGAAGGCTGGGGAGGGACTTTGTCCAAGGGCAGGGAGTGAGAGAACAAGGGGTGATGGCTTGAAAGTGTCAGAGGGGAGATGGAGCTGAGATGTGAGGAAGAAATTGTTTGGTGTGAGGGTGGTGAGCCAGTGTCCCAGGTTGTCCAGAGAAGCTGTGGCTGCTCCCTGGAAGTGTTTGTGGCCAGGTTGGATGAGGCTTTGAGCAACCTGGTCTAGTGGAAGGTGTCCCTGCTGCTGGCAGGGGGGTTGGGACTGGATGAGCTTTAAGGTCCCTTCCAGCCCAAACCAGTCTGGGATTCTACAATTTTGGAGGAACACAGGGGGTGGAAATCACAAAGCAAAAAGCAACCACGTAATTCATCTCCTACCACAATCTATGTACATATCTATATATACATATATAGATGATTTAGCAGAAAAGCTCAGCTTTTTGCCACGGACACTGTCCACTCCTCTTCTACAAGCCAGGTGGTGCTTGTATGCAAGAGGACAACACCCCAAGAGCACAAAACTCCTCGATTTGATTCTACAATTTCCACTGTCACAACAGAGCACTCGAGTTACCTTGGCTAGCGACAAATCCATCTCGGTACGGCAGCAATGAGAGCACCGGCGCTCCTGACCTGTGGATGACCTGGATTGGAGCACTAGAAAAAGGAGCAGAAACAAGGGATGAGTGTGATGGTCTATAGTCAAAGAGCCCATTCCAATGTGTCAATGATGAAAGAAGAAAGTGAGTTTGTGGTTAAAAGATAAGTGAGGAGAACATACAGGACACGGGGACCTGATCAGTCGTTAGGAAAGAGTTGTTTGTTTCTAGAAGCAGGTGGAAGTCAGCACTGGTTTTTCCTGCAGGCCCCATCCCAGGAGATATTCAAAGTCAGGCTTGATGGTGCCCTAAGCAACCTGCTCAAGTGAAGATGTCCCTGCCTGCTGCAGGGGGGTTGGACTAGATGACCTTTGAAGGTCCCTTCCAACCCAAACCATTCTATGATTCTATGATCATCCTGGTGGCCTCCTCTGCACTGGCTCCAGTAGCTCCATGTCCTTGTGCTGTTGGTGGCCCCAGCACTGGAGGCAGCACTGCAGGTGGGGTCTCAGGAGAGCGGAGCAGAGGGGCAGAATCCCCTCCCTCCACCTGCTGCCCACGCTGCTCTGGGTGCAGCCCAGGACACGGTTATTGGCCTCTGTGCTGCCAGCGCACGTTGCCGCCTCATGTTCAGCTTCTCGTCCCCCAGCACCCCAAGTCCAACATCCCATCAGATCACCAACATGAGCAAGAAAAAAAAGATACATCCCAGAAAAAAAAAAGAAACCTCCAGAGGAGGCTCAGACGCTCCCAGTGCCCTGGCTTGGGCTGTACCCACCGTTTCGAAGGGGCACTGTCTGCCAGCACCTTCAGTCTGGCTCCTTCTCAGCCAAAACCCGAGTTGTTGTTTGAACACCTGCAGATCCAGCCACTCACTCACTTGGTGTTTCTCACATCCAGGTGATAAATGTTCCCATCCTGAGTCCCAGCCAGGAGATAGGTACTTGAGAGGAATGTGCAGCAGTTGAACGCATCAGATCCAACGAAGAGGAACACCTGAGGATACAGGAACAACTGCAAGTGTCAGACAGTCACAGGTGAGGACACAGGAGAAGGGAGCAATAATTGATTTAGAAGTCAGCAGAGTCGCTTCCACGAGTGATGGCACAAACTGGCAAACCCAAAGCTGGGTTAATAACCCCTCAGCTCTGCTCTAAGATCAAATCAGCCCCAGTGACTGCTCCTGGATCTCCTCTGGATGTGCCACACAGTGACAGACAAACCAACGCTGAGCTCAGATTCATCTTCAGTGTTGCAGTTTAACGTGGCTGGCAGCCAAACACCACACAGCCGCTCGCACCCCACCCCTTCTCCACCTCCCCACCCAGGGAATAGGGGAGAGAATTGGAGTGGGAAAGGTCAGGAGACTTTGTAGGTTGAGAGAAGAACAATTTAATAATTAGAGGAAAATAAAATTAAAATAGTAATGATAATAATAACGGTAACAACAATATATATAGAAATGAGTGATGCAGAGTACAACTGCTCACCACCCGCTGATTGTGATTCTGGAGGAGTAAAAAAAGAACCCCAAACCCAAAACTGCAATCCTGGAAGAGTGAGTCCAAGTAATTCCTGAGAGAATCCCCCTGCTTTATGGTCATCCCTCTTTCATATACTGAAAATAATGTGATACGATCTGGAATATCCCATTGGAAGAGCCAAATGCCAATTTGGGGTTTGCTAATTACTACCCTTCCCCCTCCCAGTCCTTTGCACTCACAAACTCCCCAAACAAGGTGTCCTTGTACCTGATCAACATTCTTCTCATAACAAATCCACCCTGAAACCAAAACACAGCGATTTCCAGCTACTGAGAAGAAAACTGACTCTGTCCCAGCAAAACCAGGACATTCTCACACCCATGGAGCAGCAAGACCAGATCTGCACAGCTGGTGGGCAAAGACCACTCCTTCCTCCCAGAGCTACAGTTGTCCTTACAGAAGCTGTGAGCCTTTTCCACACCATCTCACTGACCAGCTTTGGTGAGCACATCTCTTCCACCCAAACGTACTCACCACAAACAGTTCAATCTGCTATGTCATCAGGAGCTCCTGTCCTGCTGCCCAGCGTGGTCCTGATAAGATCTTCAGTACCTGAGATCTACCAACTCCATTGCCAAGAGGACAGAGATGAACTGGTGACCACCTGAGGTTCTCTTCACATGCTTCCTTAAAACACCCACCAGGATAAACAGCAACTTTACACCTTGGCTGCAGCAGGCACCCTGCGGTTCCTGCATTCACAATGACATCTGCTGGCCACTGTTTAAACACTCTGGGTTAAATTGGTGAGCAATTCTTACTCCTCAAACCCCCACATACAAATCTGACCAGCAGGAAGGAGACAAAGCATCACTTTATATATTAAGTTTAGTCTCTACTCCACAGAATACAAATGGGGACAACACTTGTGTTAGGTTTGTGTGTTGGGGCTGGTTTTGGTAGTGGATGAAGAGGCTACAGTGATGGCCCCTGTGAGAAACTCCCCAAAGCTCCCCTGGCTCCAAGGTGGACCCACTCCAGGCCAGGCTGAGCCAATTAGTGATAGGGAAACAGCTCTTTGAATCCATATTTATGAGGGGAAGACTGTTTTGGGGGGAAAAAAAAAAAAAAGGAAAGAGAATCATCAGGAGAGACAGTTGATCTGAACAAAAGACCATCAGCCTGAACAAAGAGGAGATCCATGAGGAAGGTTGCTATGAGGATGAAGGAGAAGGAAGGGAGACAGAGAACCTCATACACCCAGATCAGCACAGAGAAGAGTAGGAGAAGGTAAATGAGGTCCTCTGCAGCCCATGAAGGTTCAATGGTGGAGCAGATACCCAGGTGTAGGCCATGGAGGACTCCACGCTAGAGCAGGAAGCTGAGCCTGAGGCAAGTTGTGACTTTTGAGTGCTCCTTGATGAGCAAGGAGACCCCTAGAGACGTTCAATGCCAGAGCTGGGAGGGGAGAAGGTGTCTTGGACTTGCCTACAGCCCAAGGATGTCCCCATGCCAGAGCTAGGAGCTGAGCCTGAAGAGGTCCATCACTCCATGGGAAGCCCACGTTGGCACACTTTGTTCCTGGCTCTTTCAGCCCACGGGAGGGATCTCATGCCAGGAAGAGCAGCAGAGACGAACTGACTGAACCCCCATTCCCTGTCCCCTGTGCCAATGGGGGAGAAGGGAGAGAAATGGGGAGCAAAGTGACTGGAGCCCGGGAAGAAGGGAGGGGTGGGGAAGGTGCTGTCAGATGTGGTTGTTGTGTCTCACTGTCCTACTCTGATTGACTGGGAACTAATTAAATGGATTTTTCTTCCCCAAGTGGAGTCTGTGTTGCCCGTGCCCATC